CTGCTGCCATTGATGTTCAGTCTGTTGTGTCCATTGGTTGTCTGGCTGCTGCTGCCATTGATGTTCAGTCTGTTGTGTCCATTGGTTGTCTGGCTGCTGCTGCCATTGATGTTCAGTCTGTTGTGTCCATTGATTGTCTGGCTGCTGCTGCCATTGTTGTTCGGTGTGTGTAATTTTATAAAAAACATAGAATATTTGTATAATTTTTATTAAACACACAACTTTTATAAACGGGTAATTAAATAAGAAAAACGAAAAACGAAAACAAAATTTTTTTACATAATAATCACATAATACCTTATGTGATTAAAAAAAATATTAATAAACGAAAAAAAAAATGAAAAAAACCAAGATCCGCAGAGATGTTCACATTCCGCAGAGATGTTTATGGTTCCGCAGAACCCCCTCTGCGGAACCTGTGGTCATTTTCTGAAATCTTCATTTTTGTGGTCATTTTCTTCAAACTCACCTTACATTTTGGTCATTTGCCAAATTTTCTCTTATATTATTTGTAGTTAATCTCATTAAATGAATTTCTAGGAAATATAAATTATTATATTTTTGTTTAAGGAATAAAAAATTGGTAATAAATAATAATGAATGCTCCTAAGGCTGGAGGGTGTGGAGTGCGGTACAAACCGCGAATACGCCACGTCAACCGCAAACACCGCCCCCTGGGTGCGGTCTCGTGCGGTCTTGGCCGCAGTGCGGCTAGATATGGCCGCACCCTCTTTCTTCTCTCTCTTTATTCATATGTATTTCTCTCTTTTCTCCTTTCTCTCACCTCTCTCTTTCTTTACCATGATTTCCACTCCTGGGTGTGGTAAAGAACCACACTTTGTGTGGTAAAAATGACGTGACTTCTATTTGTCAAAGGAGGGAATGCGGTTCCTCTGACACCACTCCTTCCAGCCGCCTAATGATTTAGAAATTAGAATAAATAATTGATAATGAAAGCTATAAAGCAAAGATCGGTTTGCTAATATTGAGAATTTCCTCTCCAGTCTCCACCGTCATCCCTCCGCTTCCTCCGTACTCCCTTGTCTTTTCTTCTGTATTCCGGCAGAGTCTATTTCCCTTTACCAAGAAATTCCAAAACGAGCCCTGAGATTTTCCTCTCAAGCTCTGCTTCTTGACCTTTTTCAACCATCAATGTCAGCTTGGTTGTGACAAAATTGCTGAGCTTTTTCGTATTCTTGTGCTTGTTTACTATATGCTTCATCCCTATTTTCGAAAATGAAAGCTCCTCCAAACGGTTATCAACCAAATTCAGGAGAAGGTTAGGAATTTTAACAGTATGTTCCATTTAATTTGTTCCTGCAAAAAGATTTATTCCAGTTTGGTCCACCGGTGAAACTGTAGTCGATTTTATCTTGAAATTTTCGGAATTTGAACCTTCATTTTGTTGTTTTGACGTATTATTGATCGAAATTGAACTGACAGAGAACGTGGGTGACAGAAAAGATGATGAATTTTTTGTTCAAGTTGAGAGTTTGAAAGTTAATTAAATCAAAAGGTGTTTTGATCATTTTCAGGCGCAAGAAAAGTAATGAATTCGGAGTTATGGCACGCTTGTGCTGGGCCAATGGTCTCATTGCCACCTGTCGGAAGTCTAGTGGTGTACTTCCCACAAGGTCACAGCGAACAAGTAATCTTCTTTCTTTTTCTCGATGCTATCTACAATTCTACATCAAGATTCAAGAAGATGCCTCAAGCTTTATTTATTTATCGATAAAAGTCATGTATTAGTAATCTACTCTCAGGTTGCAGCATCGATGCAGAAAGATACAGAAAACATACCAAACTATCCAAATCTTCCTTCTAAGCTCATCTGCATGCTTCATAATGTCACATTACATGTATGTAATTCAACACATAAAACTTAATCTAATTTGAAAAATCAATCACGTAGCCAAAGAGTGACAAATTTTGATTATTTTGAATCAGGCTGATGCAGAAACTGATGAAGTATATGCGCAGATGACACTTCAACCTGTGAATAAAGTAGGTCATGAACTGGTAGTGAATTTCGATTAAATTTTTTCTTTTTTTCATCATGTTAATTAAAGCTTATTAAACATGATATTCACAGTATGATCAGGAAGCTTTACTTATTTCTGATATGGGTCTGAAGCAAAACAAACAGCCTACTGAGTTCTTCTGCAAAACTCTTACACCTAGTGACACAAGCACCCATGGTGGATTCTCTGTACCTCGTAGAGCT